CCATTAGTGTGCATTCACGGAGACCATGAAGGAGAACAGAACATTATTCTAATAAAAGTACCAATATGACATGATGGATGTGGCCCTTTTCCACCACTCAGCAGGTAGCATCCAAAATGCTCCTACTACTTCATCGTAGTGGCACTTACTACAGCAGTGGGTGAAATGTACAGGACTTGGGTAAGCTTCTGGGATAGAAACACTGGAATGATCTGATTGTAATATTTAACATCATAGGTCAAAGTTAAAAGCATGAGCTTGGCATCTAGGATGATCCAGTAAGGCACTGAAAAACTTTTTGTTTCTGTTTTTGACAAAATGCACTTTGTCATTTTGTCCAAACCAGTAGACTGCGCAATTAATCTGAACTGTGACAAGTGGAAACAAGTCAATTTGAAACCAGTGTCCAGAATCTTATTGGGATGTATGCTGTTGCAGTGTAACTGTAAACTCTGATGGTAAATTGTTGCTAGATAAAAACTTGCCCCTTACATTTCTAGTTGTCCACCAAGTAACATGACTGGCATATGAAATTTCTGGATTATTACCAAAGCAAGACCCCTAAACATGCTTTAGCTGCTATAATTTAACATATCCAAACATAGTCATTATCTTCAAGCTTTTTTACAGGGTATTCACCTTATTGTTCATAATGCACAGTAACACAATTTGTCTTCTCCTCTCATCTCTTCAACAAGTTCCTTGTATTGGGGTTGCTACAAACTGCTACTGATCAAAACTGTTTCTCTGCTACCATTTCTCTGTTGCTAAGAATGAGCTGCCACCTTGTATCATTAGAACACAAAGCTTTTTACTTTTTCATAAACTTTCAATCTAATATTTATGAATACAAATTCTTAATTGTGACTGAAAACAAGGAATAAGCAGTTTCTTCAGTGAACAACTAAAAGCAAGTGTCACATGAATGAAATAATGAGTTCTAAAATACAGCACATGTACATTTTTGTTCCTCCCTAAATGTGTATTTACCAGCTCAAAAGATATTGTGAAAGGATGTGACGTGACTGTACTAACTAACTTGGCCAGCTTACACGTCAACACATCCTACGCTAGAAACAGACACGTATTAAAAGCACAGTCATAAAGCTGAAAGCATTAGATGCAAGCATTGATAGAACACATTTACACTTCTTTCTTTCTTTTAAGAATAAGAATAAATGTGGATCCAACAGAATGCTGGTGTACCCTGCTCCTGGTTTATATGCCTAGTTCACGATCTTACTAGGTCAGTAACTAGATTACCTCTGCATCCTGCTCAAGGAGGTGGTACGTTTTCTGTAAGCTCTCCAACGTTTTTGAACATAATGTCTTCTTTTCCAAGAGGCTCTCCAAAAGTAATACCAGCTGGTCCGGGGAAAGCTAAAAAGATTGAAGTGTAAGGTTAAAATATGCATCTATGTCTAAATCTAACCCTTCTGCATAAGTTTGTGATTTGACTAAACTAGGCAAGAACAGCTTTTCCCAACTTGCTGCCCTTGTATTGCATGACCATTCCCATGGACCACAGGAGATGGGGATGATGAGAGATGTAATCTCACTTCCTGGAGAACTTTGAGATGCAAAAGGCAAGTGTATACACTCACTTCCTTTCAATGCAGCTATTACTGTCATGCCCTGCTTGGCTGAAAGCTAAACAGACACTCTGAGTTAATCTGTGTAATTATATCAAGTGCTTGAAATATATGAGTAACATATTCTGGTTCATCAATACTGCAAAGCCTTACGTTATTATCTGTATTCTAGAAGACTTATTCCCAAATTCTAATTAAGACTGATTTGCCATGGCTCCCTATACTATATTTAGATAAAATCAAAACCATATTAATAGCAATGAAATGTTGTTAGACTTTATTAGGTTCCATGCTTTATGGAATACCTATGCTAAGTGACTTTATTTTGATAAAGTTAGAAACAAAAGGGTAAGTTAAACTGAATTTGGTTTTAGAATCTCAGACAAGTTGGCAACGAAAAACATGCTATTGCACATCTATAATACAAAGTTAGTAGCCTCCTTTCAAAGACAAAGTTGCAATATAATGAAAAGTATCCTACCAGTGTTTGCATAACTTGATACGGCTAACTAGAGCTAACTGATGAGGCCCTGGAGTGTGTCTTGACTGCACGCCTAGTCATACCCAACTAATAATTGCATGCCATCAAGTCAATTCTGACTTATGCTGACCATTTGCCAGGCTTTCTAGGTAGAGAATGCACACAAGTTGTTTACCATTCTCTGTGCATGTCCTGGGACTGCACAACTTGTCCAAGGCTAAATAGGCTGGCTCTTTTCAGGAGGCACAGTGGGGAATCGAACTCCCAACGTCTGGCTCCACAACCAGATACCTAAACCAGTGAGCTGTCCAGCCAGCTTGCACTCAACTACACAAGCAATATTTAGCCCCTCAGTTCTTTAACAGGGTGAAGCAAATTACACAAACCTTATGTGAACACCAACAGGATTCTACATAGTATCCCTCACATATTTATCCAGAGGTAATAGCTGAATTGATAAATGGAGCTTACTTCCAGGTAAAAATGCAAAGGACAGTGGACTTACTGTTTCTGCAGCATAAGAAAACTAAGAATTTTATTACAATTTGAAGGGGACACACCTACAGAATGATTGTCACAAGAAATACTTAGGTTCAACATTAATGCTGCTTTTAGTAGAAGAAAATGTAAGTAATATATGAAAATCAGCATCGTAGTACATGCCAAATGCTAGGAAATTCTAGGTTCTGAAAAACTGTATAAGGTAACTGCATTAAACACAGATATTCTAATTAACTAACTACATTTCTAGTAAGATGTTACTAACAAAATCTCATTCTGTTTAAGAGTAGAATCCCAGTTTAACATATTAACAATTAAAGCCGCTGATAACACAAAATAAATCTAAGCATAAGACCCATTACCAAGATTCTTGGCATGTACCCATGTCCAACTTCGGCTTTCTGCTTAGAAAATTCATTCGGACTGGGATGGGCAATGCAAGTGGGCCATACAGGGGCAGGCAGAAGAAGCAAGAGAATTTCAACTAACATATTTTCCAAGCAAGAACCCAATCCCATACCCCCTGAATCTCACAACCTTTACCAAAATACAGTGGTGCCTCGACTTATGACCATAATTCGTTCCAGAAGATGGATGTAACTCAAAATGGTCATAAGTCGAAGCACAATTTCCCATAGGAATGCATTGAAATGCAATTAATCTGTTCCGGCCAAAGGAAAAAAAAAATCACACACACACACACAAAATCACTGCAAGACTCATTGGAAACGCAATTAATCCTTTCTGGCCGAAGGGGAAAAAAGGAAAAGAAAAGCAATCAAGCGTGCAAGACCCATTGGAAATGCACAGAAAACAAACGGTGAAAAAACTCAACAAACAAACCTCCCAAGACTGGAAATGGGGAAAAACTCTTCAAAAAGCAACAACCCTCCAAGACCCACTGGAAATGGGGGGTGACCAAGAACCAAACAAACAAACCCCCCCAAAGACCCATCACAGCACAGGAACATAACCCCACTAGCCCAAAACCACACTGCAAAAATACCCAGAACAGTTTTTTAAAAGCAGAAAACAGGACCTTACCTTACCAGGCATCCCGAAGCCTCCCTGCAAACACACACACACACACACACTCACTCAGAACCAAAAGCGAGGCAGTCCAAAACCTCCAATGATGACACACACTCTCTAACTGGTAGGGTGAAAGAGCTACAAAGAAGCAGACTCGTCGCCACCTACAGTTAGAAATTTGAATTTCCCGTCTTTTTCCCCTGCCTTTTTCTGTTCGTAAGTGGAAGCTCCAGTCACAGGTAGAAGCAAAATTTCGTGGCCAGAGCTGGTCGTAACTTGAAATGGTCGTAAGTAGGGACATTTGTAAGTCGAGGCACCACTGTACCTATAACATTCCTGCTCTTAGAGGAGAAATGAAGAGAATTGCACAGCTCTTCTGTATAAATCATTCACTGTGACTAGGAGCCAAATAAGTTACATCTTCCCTTCCATATATTCTTCTTATATGGACAGCTTCAGGAGAAATTTTACCAGCATCCTTTTTGGGTTTTTGCATCTCTCTGGAACAAACAGTTGAAAAAACTACAGGAACACTTAAATTTGTTCACTACGAAGAAGTCCCATTTCAATAAGAACATTTCCTGAATTTGGCTAAAGCTGAAGCAGACTTGAATTTTCCAAACAAGGTGGATTAATATTATCTTACTAGTTTGTTTTCATTTCATTAATGGTCTCTTGTGTCTTTTAAATAACAAAATTAGCTATTAGCAACATGACTTTATTTATATTTGTTAGTTCTTTATTATAGGCTACCTTTCAGGCATGTCACAGCATATTAAAAACTATCTATAATAATCTATAAACAAACCATAAAATTGTCAGTTAAAATCTACTAATATGTTATGAGGAGATGAATGATTTTGTATTCCAAGACCAACCTCTAAAATTCAGATAATTATACAGTACATTTCTCTCTCCCCCCACCCTCTTTTTCATAGTTTGCTTCAAGAGTTTTTAAATGTTCCTAAATGGGCAGAAGACTGCAGAATTAGCTGTTATTTTGACTCTTCATGTGTCCTTCCTAAGGGCCAATTTACACAACTCCTTCAGCACATGGCAGCTGCCTGATAAACACAGGGTATGAAGACTTCCAGCTGCCTCAGCCTGAGCCGAGCTTGTTGAACACATGTGCCACTGCATATTTCACTAGGCTTATCAATGCCAAATACCAAATTAAATGTATGGTATTGCACATGTGACTAGCTGACTGGTAAGACTGAACAAATAGCAGGCTACGTTTTACAGGCAATTATGACCTAAAACAGTAATGGCTTGTAATATGTCTGTGGAAATACATTTGATAATATGCTTGCATTTAAAATGTATTTTTCAGATATATCTGTACAGATATACCTCAGATACAGTATATCTGTACGTATATATCTTAGAAATATCTGTGGGTTTCTAAAACTTCAACCCTAAGCACATGGACTTACTGAGAGGATAAACTCCAGTGAAAACTCAACGGAACATGTTTGCAATCACTCTTAAGATCACGAAACAAACAAATAGTCTGCTCAGCAGCCGATATTTTGACTCAGTTCCTTTCCTTTGGGAGAAAACTAAAGGCAGCTAAGTATAATAATACTTTAAAATGTTTCCATGTTTCTCCCACCTGTCAGCACCTTAAAAGTTTAGCAGATAGTTTGATACCATTTGTTTAAGGTAGGGATGGTAAGCTAGACTCAAGAGACTTCTGGGAAATTTACTCTCTACTTCGAAATATAAATTGAATTTCAGATGTTGTATAACACCATCAAATAAATGCCGTGGCGCTGTCTTTAAATTCTGCTGTCTACCAGGAAACAGCATTTAGTAATTGAAAGTCAGCTGTGGTTTCTTTTGAAATGTATCCTTGGCACAGACTTTATATAGTTAAACATACAAGGAGGTATTGTTTAAATGTTCATTAAAGATCTAACTATGCCCAAGGAAGTCACAGAAATGTAGAAGCCAGGTAACCACATGTCCTGGATTGACTTCACTCAGCTTCACATAGTTGTACATTTAGCATCTGAGGTCCTCTCCATCTAAATAATGAAGTAAAAAATAAATAAAAAGAAGTAAGTATTGTCTGTCTTTCATGTCTGATTTCCAATAATACTCTCAGTCTTGAATTTACTTGAGCAAAAATAAATACTGGCCTCTTGTAACTAAAGAGACATCCACAGATATCCAGGGGCTAGGCAGAAAGACAGAGTCCTAACACAAATACTTTAATAGAGCCTAGAGACCTATATGCTTACTCCACAACTGAATACTTATACAGTGGACCCTCTACTTAAGGAATTAATCCGTATTGGAATGGTGGCTGCAAGTCGAAAAGTCTGTAAGTCGAATCTCCATTGACCTACAATGCACTGAAAACCGATTAATCCCATAACCAGTGATTTTTATTCTATTTTTATTCCATTTTGGTTTTTTTCTGGTCTGTAAGTCGATTCTCTGGCTGCAAGCTGAATCTAAATTTTGCAGCCAGAGAAGTCTGTTACTCGAAAAGTCTGTAAGTCGAGCCGTCTGTAAGTCGAGGGTCCACTGTAGAAGGAAAGTCAACAGCGTCTTCTTGAAAAGCAATTAAAAATGCCAATGTTAAAATGAGGTTCTTCCCTTTCATTCTTGTGCATATGAACTATTTTTGTGTTTGTACATAATGTGCAGGACATCAAACCTCCAATTAAAAAAAAACCCAATAACTATCATTTCCAGAAGCAACCAAGACTAAGGCTGAAATCCTGTTACTTAGCATAGTAAGTTCCACTACAGTAGGTCCACTT